TGCAGTACAAGCAGAACGAGGGCAATCTTGAGAAGCAGCGAAGCATGCGCAAGACTTGGATGAAGCGGCTTAGAGGGCTACAACCAAACCCTGAAGTCTGGCAGCGCATGATCAAGGTCCGACAACTCGTCATCTCACCAAAGGAGGGTACCGATATGTGGATCAAGTACACCAACCTGTGTCGCAAGAGCAACAGGATGAACCTCGCGAACAAGGCGCTCCAGAAGTTGCTCGACATTGAGAGCACTGGCGACAGCACTGTGGTTGAGTTCGTCCGCAACAACGCGCATGAGATCTCGCACCCAGTCGCATACACGACCTACAAGTACATGTGGGCCGATCAGAACTTCAAGCAGGAGGCTCTTGATAGTATGAAGGACTTCACCGGACGACTATCTGAGGATCTTGCGATGCGGACTCGGGCTGCGACTAACCCGATGATGGGGCAAAACGGCATGAACGGTATGTCCAATGGTCAGCACATGTTCACGAACATAAACCCCTTTGCTGCCACCAACGGACACAGTGGAGTCAATGGTATGAATGGTTCAAGCATGCTAAACGGGTCGTCCATAGGTGCCTCGCCTACTGAACTAGCCGAGAGCCATCGCCTACTCGCCAAATGCTACCTCAAGCAAGGTGACTGGCAGCAAGAGCTCCAAGACGGCGAGTGGGAGCACGAGTTTGTTCACGAGATCCTAGCGGCATATGCGGCTGCGACTCGCTACAACAAGGAATGGTACAAGGCCTGGCACGCGTGGGCCCTCGCCAACTTCGAAGTCATCAACTCCATCACATCCAAGTCTGACCGAGAGGCTACTGAAGTGCCTAATAACATCATCCACGATCACGTCATCCCGGCTATCCAGGGCTTCTTCAAGTCAATCGCACTGTCTTCAACTAGTTCGTTGCAGGATACGCTGAGGTTGCTTACCCTATGGTTCAGCTATGGTGGACGGGAAGGCGTCAACCGCACCATCACAGAGGGCACGAAGTCTGTGCCAATCGACACATGGCTCGAAGTCATTCCCCAATTGCTTGCTAGGGTCAACCAACCCAACGCCGTGGTTCGGCAATCGATTCATCAGCTGCTTATCGAAGTCGGCAAGGCACATCCTCAGGCTTTGGTCTTCCCATTGACTGTCTCGATGAAGTCGGATGTATCGCGACGTCAGCGATCCGCTAAGGAACTCATGGAGGCCATGCGCGAGCACTCGCCGAAGCTGGTCGAACAAGCAGATCTTGTGAGTCACGAACTCATTCGTATTGCTGTGCTCTGGCATGAGCAATGGCATGAGGGTCTTGAGGAAGCCAGTAGGCTCTACTTTGGCGATCACAACATCGACGGCATGTTTGCTACTCTCGCCCCACTCCATGCGATGCTCGACAAGGGACCTGAGACTCTACGTGAAATCTCATTCATCCAATCATTCGGTCGCGAACTCCAAGAAGCCCGGGACTGGTGTAATACATTCAGGACATCCGGTGAAATAGGCGACCTCAACCAGGCATGGGATCTCTACTACCAGGTGTTCCGCAAGATCGCTCGTCAATTGCCGTCCTTGATGACGCTTGAGTTGCAGTATGTCTCACCAAAGCTCAAGGACGCGCATGACCTTGAACTTGCTGTTCCTGGAACGTACCAGGTTGGCAAGCCGGTTATCCGCATCATCTCGTTTGACCCTGTTGCATCCGTCATCCAGTCCAAGCAGCGACCCAGGAAGCTGGAAATGCGCGGAAGCGACGGGAAAGCACACACCCATGTCCTCAAGGGCCACGAAGACATTCGTCAAGACGAGCGTGTCATGCAACTCTTCGGTCTCTGCAACACGCTGCTCTCCAACGATGTGGAGTCTCGTAAGCGACACCTTAATATCCAACGCTACGCCGCGGTCCCGCTTAGTACGCAATCCGGTCTGCTTGGTTGGGTCCCTAACAGCGACACTCTGCATGTGCTCATCCGCGAGTACCGCGATAGTAGAAAGATTCTCCTCAACATTGAGCACCGCATCATGCTGCAGATGGCGCCTGATTACGACTGCCTCACGCTCATGCAAAAGGTTGAAGTCTTTGGCTACGCGCTCGACAACACAACAGGCCAGGATCTCTACCGCGTCTTGTGGCTCAAATCTAAATCCTCAGAAGCCTGGCTTGATCGCCGCACAAACTACACGCGTTCTCTCGCCGTCATGTCCATGGTCGGTTACATTCTGGGTCTCGGCGATCGCCACCCTAGTAACTTGATGCTGGACCGCGTCACCGGCAACATTATTCACATTGATTTCGGCGACTGTTTCGAAGTAGCCATGCACCGGGAGAAGTACCCGGAACGCGTACCGTTCCGTCTCACGCGCATGTTGACGTATGCCATGGAAGTTAGTAATATCGAGGGTAGCTACCGGACGACTTGCGAGCACGTCATGCGCGTGTTGAGGAGCAACAAGGAGAGTGTCATGGCTGTGCTTGAAGCTGTAAGTTCCCTTCCTTGCCCCAATAATCACACATGATTTGATTTACTAACCCCCACAAACAGTTCATCCACGACCCCCTCCTAACCTGGCGCCTCAACCACCGCGACACCTCCCCGGAGCCAAACTACCCCTCTGAACGCCGCCAATCCATCATGGTCGCCGACCCCGCAAACCCCAACCCCAACGACCCCCACCAAATGCCCAGCATCGTCGGTCGCCCCCGCCACCGCTCCTCCATCGCCCCACCCCAGAACAACGACGTCGACGCTAAGGAAGTGCAGAATGCACGTGCCTTGCAGGTCCTCAGCCGTGTTAAGGAGAAGTTGACGGGTAAGGATTTCGGGAAGGGTGAGGAGTTGAGGACGGAGATGCAGGTTGATCGGTTGATTAAGGAGGCGACGAATTTGGAGAATCTTTGTCAGCATTATATTGGGTGGTGTAGTTTCTGGTAGGCTGTTCGTTCTGGACATCATTTCATGCAGAGTGTGGGACGAATGGTGTCATGATTTGGTTGGGTTGTTCATTGGTAGCATTAGCGTTGGCATGGCATGGTTTTAGGCGTGGAGTTACGGGCTTTCATGGACGATGTTTCGTGTACTATTACGAGAACCTTTTCTTCCTTTGACTCCAGCGGCATTGCAGTGGTGCTTTTGGTGTTGAGGGATATGGAATGTGTGGGGTTAATGATGAATTGCTGCTTTCATGATGATTTTCATTCGTTGTGTGTGATTGTGTGGATTTCTTGCGGTGATGGTGGACACATGTCAAGAAAAGGTAAGCGGATAGAACGCTACCTTTGGTATCTTGCCCTGCCGTGCTTACCGTCCAAGATGCAGTACACGCCACAGGGTCTGACTAGGTAGCCCGGCAGTAGGAGTAACACTGGTATCTGCATGAGCTGCTGACAATGCATGAAGGGTCTTGCATGACGTTGCTTTACGTGGGGACACGCATGGAAGGATCCGAAAAGACTGGGTCTAGTACTGTCGAGGGTCGACAAGACGCTCACTGCCCGCGATGCAAACGTGATTTGTGGATAAGAACAAGCTGCAATGGCATGTGCCGGGGAAAGTATAGAACGAGTTTGATCTAGAACATCTATATGTGTACCATTTGTAGAACGGGCTCGTTCTCTTTCCTGCCGTGCTTGCCAGTACCCAGGCGGAACAACGGCACAAGATGCACTATGGTTACCAGCTGTACGGATTCAGTGGTCTAGACGAAATTCTGGAGTTGATATGTTATATGCCGATTCTTGTCCGTGAGGTATAAACGCAGATTTCTCGGCATTGTAGAGACGGTACCCTCTTTGACGGGTAAAAGTGGAGTAGGTTGCCGTGCTTAGCTTCCTGTTGTGTCACCACGTTCCATGCTGGTAATGTATATTCTTTGGCATAGTATTCGTTTTGAGGGTAAATTGCTGCAGCGAGTTCGACAATGCATCTCGGCTGCAAGCTCTTAACAAAATTATAACCTGTTTACAATTTTGAATCGAAGGTTCAGAATATGTACATTCGGATACATGTCTCCGTACGTCACGCGTACGGATCCGAACTAAGGACAGACTTGTAGGCTAACGGTCTCCGCAGTGTAGTCGCAATCGAAGATGCCGTTCTTGCCAGCTCCAAGGAGCGCACGTGACGTGTCAGACGAATCGTGAGGGGATCTCCAGCCGTAATAACCGTGAGATCAACATGAGAATGTAGAGAAAAACGGTTTCAAAAGCAACGGACGTGCTACAAGTTGTACGGTCCAGCGCGTCATTGACCTCGAAATGCTTGCTAGTGAGCCTGCTTGTCGTATCGCGGAGTAACGCCCGGCAAAACACCAACGACTGTCAGAGCTGAATCTGTAGAAGTGCTTATGTTGGGCCACTTGATGGTTTGAAATTTGGTGTTGGGCAGTAGTTCTCGGCCGGGTCGGCCCCTGGCCAGCCGAAACGTCAGAACGTCCGAGAACCCACTGGCACGTCGAATCCTTATCATGGAGACAAACTATTCCCGCCAGTGACGCGGAAGGAACGGGTGTAGAACACAGCCACACAAATGATGGTGACGGCAACCTGCAGATGGACAGTTCTGAAACGCTTGGGTTTGCTCTTGGGTTATGTTCCGCATTGCCGCTAACAACGCGTCTTCCTAGGGCACCGGCTAGATAGCCGAGATGGTGTGGCCGCTATGGCCATGTCGACGCAACTTTGCTGGCTTCTGGTTTGTCGCGACTGGAAGTGCGGCAGATCGACGGGGTGGGGGGCTGGTCAAAAACTGTTGTAGCGGTGCTCTTATGGGAGGCGCGTGCAGGTACATAGGGTTTCTTATCGCCGGACTTTTTTGTTTCAGGATACAGCAGTTCGTCTTGAGGTTTTTTGTGCAGTCTTTTTCTTGTGTTTGGCGTCGAGTCGAAGATCTCGACACGTGCAACTGCGAAAAAGGGGTGTGACATCATTGGGTCATTGCTGAACCACAATTTCCGACTCCAGCTGCCAATTCGCTCGCCCCGCATGTACCGCTGCGGCTCGACCTTGGCATCATGAACCGCAACACGCAGAACCTCGCGATAGGCCGCTTGCCTACTAACGACAGCTTTCCGCCTTTTTCCAGCGTCGTCCACAGACCGGCGTCGAGTTCCTCCACCGCCTCGGTGTCGAGTGCAGAGGAGAGACTGCAATGGCGCTCGCACCCGAATGTCGCGACACCGCATCCGGATCCGACGAACCAGAATCCCTTCGATGATCCCAGCCTCACATTGGCAACGCCCCTGAGTCGCGATGAGCCCGAAGGCCTTTCCAACGACGTGCAGAAGCAGATTCAGCGCGAAGAGGAAGAGATAGAGTACCATGGCGACGACAACGAGAGGGTCGACACGAACTCTACGGAGAAGACTGACGATTCCATACGCGAGAACCCGGCGGCATTGGCTGCTGTCGCCAGCAGAAGTACAAAGCGCAGCGTTCAAAATTCAGATGTGCCGGAGAAGAGGACGAATCTGAGCTTCAAGGAGCGGATACGGCATTTCACCTGGACTTGGTTCTGTCTTACCATGGCTACCGGTGGTATCGCCAACGTCCTGTACACTGTCCCGTTCCGCTTCCACGGCATCTACGCGCTTGGGTGTATCTTCTTCATCCTCAACATTGTGCTGTTCCTGTTCAACGTCGCTATGATTTCTTGCCGGTTCTACTTCTATCCCCGAACGTTCAAGGCGTCATTCCTGCATCCCACAGAATCGCTGTTCATCCCCGCCGCTATCGTCAGTTTTGGTATCATCCTGATCAACATCAGTCAGTTTGGAGTTGACATGGCTGGGGTGGGTGAGTGGTTGGAGCAATGCATGATTGTGTTGTTTTGGATGGACTGTGGCCTTGCTGTTTGCTTCTCCATTGGCATCTACCTGCTCATGTTCGTTCCTCTCTCACATTGTATACTGACAAATATGCTAACAACGACAGGTGGTCAACCACGACTTTTACTATCTCTCAAATGACGCCCATTTGGATCTTCCCAGCATACCCTCTGCTTATCATCGGACCTCATGCTGGTAACCTCGCGCCCAAGGTCGAAGATCCAACCATCTCACTCACCATCATCCTGACTGGGTATGTCATTCAAGGTATCGGCTTCCTGGTGTCGCTCATGATCTACGCTGCCTTCATCTACCGTCTCATGACGCAGAAACTTCCCAAGGAATCCCTCCGTCCGGGTATGTTCATCTCAGTCGGTCCATCTGGCTTCACCATTGCCGGAGTCATCATGATGGGTCAAGAGCTCCCAAAGACCGTACCCAGCGATTTCATGGGCGAAGGGAACGGCGAGCTCGCAGGCAAAGTCGGCATGATCTGCGCCAATTACATGGGACTATGGCTCTGGGGTCTCGCACTATGGTTCTTCTTCGTCAGCGTCGGTGCGCATTGGTCATGTGCCAGGAGAGGAAAGATGGACTTCGCAATGACATGGTACTCCTTCATCTTCCCCAACACCGCGCTCACAACATCGACCTTCGCCATCGCCCGTGCCCTCAACGACAACAGAGCCATCGCGCTAATCGGCTGCGCAATGACCATCGCCCTCGTCATGATGTGGTTCTTCGTCATCTTCATGAACGTGCGCGCTGTTGTCATTCATCAGATTTTGTGGCCAGAGAAGCAAGAAGATAGGACTGAGGGCGGATGGAAACAACAGAGTGCGGAAGAACAGCAGAGGAGACAAAGAGAGAGGGAACTGGCTGATGGCGGTGAGAGTATGAGGGGCAGGGCGTGGAGTCGTGCGAGGACGCTGACGAGGCCTCGTGAGAGTGATCCTACGACCACGGCTATGCCGACGCTGGAGAGGTCGCAGACGGATATTGGGGCGAGGAAGAGGGGATGGAGCTTTAGGAGGTAGAAGAGACGGAGTGGTGGCAGATGTGGAGAGGATGAAAAGTGTGAGGAGTTTGCCATTTGCATAGAATTTGTCGTCGATACCCCTTAGAGCGATGTTTTGGTCGAGCGTTAGTTTTGGTTTTCGGTAGTTATGTATGTTAATTAGATGTTCTCTCTTCGGAAACCAGCGTTACATTTGACTCGAGTGTACTATATGCTGACCCATGACCTCCACTCGCAAATTCCCAGTGGGCAATGCAAGGCTGATACATAATGCTATTGGCGCATAGCAAATTCAGAACTCTTCCGTCGAAATGTTCCAGCACTTGTGAGCCCTGGCTGCGAGTCGGTACCTAAAGCGCGTTGAGGCTAGGCTTAATCAAGTTAAGGGCCTTGGCACCCCGAACAGACGCACGCGTGTTCGTCGCGTCCTCACCTTGCACACGGCAACTTCTACACGCGCGTTTTGCTCGTTATCATCGCTGCATAGATGGAAAACGATATCCATCGCCTTTATCACTAGATTTATGTCTTTCAACATGCTGTACGCCACGTTTTGTACTCACCTTGGGGCCTGCCAGGCTGCGGGGGGCGAAGCAGCGCCCATAGGACTCAGGCCAATCACTCGTGCGTGGTGGCGCTGTTGAGATGACCTGGCACGGGGATCAAACTCAGCCTCCTTTCCTGATCTTTACTGCGACAGACCACTTCTCTCCTCGTCATCCTCCCGCCTACCTTTGCGTACACATTCTGCCGCTCTACGAAGATGGACCTCGAGAGGGAACATAGTAGCCTGCTCAGTATTCAGAACAAGCCCGCTGCCAAGCGACAACTTGGCCAGATAAACCAAGAGCACTCGTCATGGGCTTACGACAATCAAACACTCTCCAGGATGGGTTACTCTCCCGGGAACGTCGTAATTCCTTCCGGCGCCTATGATCGACCCAACGTTTCTGCACTTCCTTCGACCGATGACCATCATGTGCCAAACTCTGAGTACTACATGAAGCATGACCCATATCCTGCATTGGAAGCATCGGCAAAGGACAACAATGATGGAGGCAGCCTTACTAAACTCGATCACGCCGAGCATGCGAGCGCTACCTTTCGATCGCAGTTAGGAAGTGTGGAAGATGTACGACTGGCGAATGCCCTCAACACGCGAGCCACAGCCTCAAATATTGCAGCTGATCTCGTCCTCATTGACGACCAAAGCAACAATGAACCATCATACCAACTTGTCCGTATGCTTGGCCATGGCGGAAGCGCAAGCGTGGAAGAGGTACTCGATCTCAACACAGGTTCTATATTTGCCCGGAAGATCATCAGAAACGTTTATTCTCGGAATATCGATGAGGCAAAACGAAAGCTCCTCAACGAAGTCCGGATTATGCAGCGTTTGGCTTCCCATCATCACATCGTCAGCGTGCACGCTGCTTATGTCAGAAAAAGAGAGCTCACCATGATCCTCAATCCGGTTGCGGATGGTGGAGATTTGGCGGGTTATCTACAGAACTACCGTGACCAAGGCTTCCACCATACTAGCGAAGAGATGACCAAGGAGAACTTATACCAGAAACTTGTCCTGCGCAGAGCATTCGGCTGCTTAGCTTCGGCCTTGGACTTCATCCACAGTCAAACAATCAGACACAAAGACATCAAGCCGCAGAACATATTGATCCACCAAGGACACATCATGTATACTGACTTCGGTCTTTCATATGATTACGGAGATACCGGCCAAAGCACTACCACTGGCAATCCACAGGGTATAACCAGGAGGTACTGTGCGCCGGAAGTAGTGGAGTGGGAGAGGAGAAACACCAAATCAGACGTGTTTTCCTTGGGGTGTGTATTCATTGAGATCTTCCTAGCGCTAGCGAACGATGCTCACTATGACAAGATATATGAGCGGACCTTTCACGAGGTCGTACAATCTTACAAAGATGATGATGTACCGTTGCCACCATCTACCATCTTTGAAGGCCAAAATGAACGGCGACTCAGTAATGTCATTCAATCGATGGTACGGAGCGACCCTGCATTTAGGCCCTCGGCGTGGACGGTTGCCGACACAATCTTCAGAACCTTCTCTTCTAGTGGCAATAATTGTTCAAGATGTGACTTCGCGTTCAAAGCGGAACAGGCGGAAAGGGAACAAGCTATGTCGGACATTATCGCCGGGTATTCTTGAGATAAAGAACGCTTGTCTTGAGGAGCTCATATCGTGTCAACATTATCAGGACAACACCCAGGTCGACTACGCTGAGTTTTCAATGCTAGGTCAAGCTTGACTACAACATCGGCATACCCTCCATGCCCGGCAGCGCCGCCAACCAGCCATCGCGTTCTTCCTTTACACGGTTGGGTACGAGACACTTGTTTCCATCAGCAGGCTGCTGCGTCTTCAAGCTACCGCAGTTGGCACCCATGCAGCCCTTGGCATCATCCATAGCCTTCTGCAGCGAGTCGTCCTTCCAGCCGAAGACGTAATCTCCATGCTGTCCATATCCAGTGTTGTCACCGGTGGAGAGGACGAAGGGTTGCGAGCCATCTGCAGGCCACTCGGCTTTGTTGTTGAACTTGCTGGTGTCCCAGACGATCTGTAATTCTGTTAGCTTGGCCACAATGAACGATGGTAGATGTCTTGAGATTTACCTCGAGCATGACCTGTGGGATTTTCACGGGATGAGTCGATGGGCAATTGCCACCAGTGCCAGTACCGGAGAACAGAGCCGGACCATTGGAGGGGTACGCGACGTGCGATTTGTGGTCGGGCGAGTCTAGGTTCTTTCCATCCCAGCATCTATCAACGGGTCAGTGGGGCACGAGGTTGTGCATGATGGGCCACTTACGTCGGGTAGAGAACGTTGCTACGGATACCACCCGGGCAGGGTGTCGTGGGGAAGCCTTCGGTGTCAAGTCTTGGAGAGTCAGCATGGTCATGAGTGCAACGAGGTGTGCATGCTCACTTGGCATCCTGGCAAGGCGCGGCGTTGTCGCCACCGAAGTTGGGCGCGTTGTAGCATCGGAAACAAGTCTGAGTCTTCATACCCTTTGAGACGCGGTTGGTGGCGTCACCGGTGAGCATGCGGAAGCCCTGTACGCTGTGTCAGGGGATGAATTTGCATGGAGAGGTATATGGCTTACGGGCTTGAAGGCGGTGACTTGGCCCTTGCCGCCAGAGACGTAGTAGACGACGAAGCCTCCAGTGGTCTTTCCAGTGTACTTGTCGTTGAAGAGATCCCTGTTAGGGATTTGAGGTACGCGCTTGTATGTTCCATTGCGGGCCTTGAAGTAGACATTCGCGGTCCAGTAGTTGGAAAGCTGTCACCCAAATCGTCAGCTTGATCGTTTTGTATTCAATACCTGGACTTACATCCTCCGAGTACCCGCAAGTAGTGCATGTCGCAAGCTTGGCGATATCCGTCGACTGCATCGTGACGTTGAACGCATTTCCTCCAACTACCTGATGCATATGCGGCGACGGCGCTTGGCCTGGGTTGACAAGAGGATCGATACGGTCGATAACATTCTGAGCGCACCCAAAACGCAGCATCGTGAAGCCCTGAGAGCCACCGAACTGAGGCGCAGCCTGCGCAACGGCGGCGAGGAGGAGAGTAGGGAACAGCATGACGATTCGCGATATCTCTTCACGGAAGGACGCGTGGATGATGAAGAAGTACAGAACGATGCAGAGAAGACGCCTTGGAAGATAAAGTACTCCAAATGATGTTCTCCGAAGCTTCCACACCTGCCTAATGCGACCCACACGCAAAGGTTTGCTATTCCTCTCAGCTTTCACATTCGCCATACAACTGCCGACCCCATCCGTACCAGAAAATACATATTAGGGTCACCACAACTTCACCTAATGCGTACGGCCTCGTGGCATCGAGGCAATGTCGGCAGTTGCGGAGCTAATATGCTGATCCCGCATTCGGCTAAAGGCTTGAGATTACTTCACCAACCTGACCACTTTCTTTGGACGACGTATGGTACCGGGGCATGGGGATCGACATCTCCTCGTGGGGATGTAGTCAAGAACATGGGGATGGAAGTGGCGTTATCGGAAAGATCGGAGTCATGGCATGAGAGTTGAATTGATTCTCGTGTCCTATTCTACCACACTACTATGTGTCGACACCTCAGCCCCGCAAGTCCAGAGTTGGGAACGACTAAGCAGGTGCAGGAATAGAACCGGCAACAGCCTTGATGCCCGCGTTCCAGATGTCACCCATGCGCGCGTATCCAGCGACATTCCTATAAGATCAGTCAGCTGAGCGATCTCAAGATGAAACAGGTAATACTTACGGGTGCAGGTTATCGCTCAACTCGCTGCTCGTGCTGAGGACGTTCATATCAACGATGGAAACCTTCGATCCCTTGCTGACCCTGGCAGCGACGATAGCAGGCAACGCGTTGTTGAAAGTCTTGATGTTGGCGTTGAGACCCGATTGCTTCGATGGGATGATCTTAGCCACAATGACGACTGCGTTGGGAACTGCCTTCAGAACATCATCGAGCAAGAGTCCAAGTCGTCTCGGCGCATCGGCATCAGGCTCTGAGGAAGGGTTTCCTCTGTTCAGGTCGTTCGTACCGGCATGGAGCAAGACGACGTTGGGCTTCAATGCAAGACCGCCGGCAGCAACGCCGCGAATCTGGGAAATGGTGTAGCCAGGGAAACCTTGGTTGTCCTTGTCTGCCATCGTTCCGGACTGTTGCGTGCCGACGAAGTCAACGGTGTAGCCGCCAGACTTGAGGTCGGCCAGCAGCCGCTCACGGTAACCATTCGAGCCGCCGCCGTTGATGTAACCCCATGTGATGGAGTCGCCTAACGGTAGGATGCGGAGGTTCTTCGACTGGCGTGCGACGAGCGCATCGGTGGGAAGACCATTGACGAAGGATAGGACTGCATATCGTTAGGCACGTGTGCATGCATACCATATTTATAAGAGACCTACAGAATGAGAGGATAGCCAACGGCAGAGCCAATCGCGTCATCATGTTTGACAGCATCGTGATCAGATATCGAGGTCTTGTCAATAACGCGCAGGCGACGCAGCCAGAGGCGAGACGCCCTTTTGATGTAAAACGCCCAGCTTCATCATACCTCAGATTCAGTCCATGCGTGCTTGTGCACCCTCAAAATGGCACACATGGCGTCAGTTTCTCCGTCGATTTGATGAAGCCGAGAGGTTAGCGCGTGCCGATTCTGATTAACCTGCGACAGAGCTCGTGGATACGAATTCTCCGTAGGCAGAACTACGGCTAAGATGGCGGCGGAGTGGAGGTACCTAAGGAGATTGGTGCGCAGTGTCGTCATCCAGCAACGCGACTTTGAACGCGCGCGATATGATCACGTCTGCGGATAGAGTCGCTATTGCGACTCGCCATGCAGAGCTTCGCGATAGGTATGATGCCACCACAACATCGCTGTTGACGCGCTCGGTGTTCTGGAGCTGCTTTTAGCCTCGGTCCCTTACCTTGATGTTTCGATGTTTCGATGTGGAGAGCAATTTGGCCTTGACAGCTGTCCCTAAATCTCCCCGCATCCTAGCTCGATTGGGTATAGTTCAGACGATAATAAGATGCCCGCAACACCAACAGCCCCTCAGCCTCATAATCTTTCGCATCGAGTGCGTGTTGCACAAGATACCCTGAATAGGTATGCGAAACATCTTGATGAACAGCCTTTTCAGCACAGCTGAATGGAACAACTGCTAGGTTTTCTAGTCGTGTGTTCAACTGAAGCCTACCTGTTGGTCTCTCAATTGAGCTTGGCAGTGTCGAGATAGCTTCTGCCATCGCCGAAGTCACGAATCAGTCCATCTGAACGCCGTGGTATAGTCATGGACTGTCCATCCTATCAATACGAGAGCCTGACTGCGTCCGATCATATCCGTCTCATCAACATTCTTCCTGCAAACCGGGGATCGGCAATCAAACTCAATATTGAGCATGCCGACATCAACTCGCATCCCGAGTACGAGTGCCTGTCGTATGCCTGGGGAGAAGATGACCATAAGCTGTCCGTTACGATCGACGATTCTTCGCTACTGGTCACTGCAACCCTTTATGTCGCGCTCGAACATCTTCGACATGCGTCACAAGAGCGAAAGATTTGGATAGATGCTGTTTGTATCAACCAGAAAGACATTGCTGAGCGCAACAGTCAAGTAGCTATCATGAGAAAGATTTACAAGAATGCGACGCGCGTGATTGTATGGATCGGACCAGCCACCGAGTCGAGTGAACAGGCCATGGAGTTTTTGGAGATGCTAGCTACGGCTAGGAAACATCGCAAATGGTATACGATCGACTGGTCTAAACATGGTCAAAAGGTAACTGAAACAGCTAATAGCCCAACCTATTGGGATAAACTAAAAAGTCGCCTCATACAAGTAAATGCATCGCTGACGCGGCGATTTCATCAGAATAAAGAGCCAAAACCAGACCCGCCAAAGCCAACACCAAAACCAAAACCAGATCCAGACCCACGCTTGCAACAACTGCGTGAGCGCCGAAGGGAACAATTCAATGGGTACATAGAGGCAGTGAAAACCGCTGAAGCTACAAAGCACGATTTCGTCGTGACAGGCTATCCCATACTGTATGATATGGACGGTAATCCCTACGACAAGTATTTCAAGAGTGAATGGGAGCCCTATTGGGAGGCTCTCGATGAGCTACTCACTCGCCCATGGTGGGAGCGGACCTGGATCGTACAGGAGATATGGTGTGCTTCGGGTGCAGTGTTACAATGTGGCACTTCCATAATTGAATGGAAAACCTTTCAAATGGCCATGGATTACTCCGAGGCCTGGGATGATATCGGAGATGCCCTGGAAGGCATGAAAAGACAGTCGCAGTGGGACAAATTGCGACGACGTTATACACTGGCGATAAACCTTGCCAAAGCAAGAGTCAACGGGAGCTCGCTGTCTTCACTGCTCTGGAATACCTGGGATCGCGCGTCTACGGATCCAAAAGACAAGGTATTCGTTGTGTTAGGATTGGTGGGCGACACTCAAGGTATCTCCGTGGCGCCTGATTACCGCAAGTCAATGGAGCAGGTGTACCGAGAAACCGCGCATCACATCATAGCAAACGAAGGTCGACTTGACATCCTACTGGCGGCCAGTGGCATTCATGGTAACGATGGCTTACCGTCATGGGTACCGGATTGGCGTCGCGAGGCGTACGCAAAGAAGCCGGTTCTACTCGTCAATCGCCATCTACTGATGAAGCTGTGCTATTCGGGGTCGACTGACATGGGTAAGTTCTGACTGTACGAAGTGCATGTGAGACATATACTGACTTTGTACCTCTACCTCTGCAGTAGTGCTCCAAGGACATGGCTACCGTGCGGCCGGCAGCTCGGAGCCATATAGTTCCTTCAGCCAGGATCTGCATGTGATGACGGTACTAGGCATACAGTTGGACAGCATCGCGGAGGTATGGGACGTAGATGTCGCTGCCATGCGCGATGGTGAATTCATCAATCAGGCTTTCGACTTCATCATACAATCGAAGTTTGTGTCTACCGAGGCACGACAGATAGTGTCGGCGGAAAGAGGAGAGCTCGCCACTTCACCGCATGACTCGATCGTAATGACGACACTTACTGGTGGGGGTAATGTAAAGTACGATAGGAGAGCGCCGACGATGAGAAACATTATGCGACAACGGCGGCTTTTCGTGACGGAGCAGGGATATATTGGGATTGGCCCAGTAGAGGCCCGGTCCCGCGATGCGGTCTTCATCATCTCTGGCTGCAATTTCCCGATCATACTTCGACCGAGAAACAACATGTTCGCGGTTGTTGGCGAAGCTTACATGCACGGCTATATGGCCGGTGAAGCTCTAGCTCTGGCTCCAACTTGGGAGAAGATCTCGATACTGTAGGACACAAAAATAAACCTTCAGTATTTGCTCGATTCGACGCTTATCTACCGTTTTAAGTATTCTGGTATCGTATAGCAGAGCTGCACGTTGAACAAAGGGCGTGTGATCTCGTCACGATCTACTCCTTTTGATCTAGCGTGGTGGCTGTGTGAGGTCCTCCCCGGGGCCATGTAATCAGCCGCTTGGCCGACACGCAGCTGCCTCACTTCTTTTCCCACCTCTCCTGAGACAATAACGCTACCCTCAGCAAGTGACAGAACGCATTGCGACGAAACTTAATCGACAGACATGGGCAGCAACCGATGGTAAGGTGGAGGAATGAGAGATGTCCATCGCTGCGCGCGCGATGGAGAGCGCGTCGAGCACTTGCTAGGACATGCGACTGCCGGCCTTTAACCCGGCGCAAGCCACGACACAGCACGTCGAGCAGTTACACGACTTCGACTTAAAGCAATACAGCCTCTGGCCTCGCGATTTTATCGCTGACAGGGCAATTGTACGTGTCCACGTGTCTAAGAAGTTCTCACAAACCGGTGAGGCGCACTGCGCCCGAAGCCAGACATTTATATACTTGCAAAGTACAGGTAAAATAACACCTCCTTAAATTCGTGTCCTGTCACTCGAAAGTCACTACGAATGCTCCTTTTTGTCCGGTCGCTCTCTTTCACTCTCATGCTGAGAAAATGGCACCACGGCACGCCTCGTCACTCTTACCCTTCATTTATCTCGTTCTTCTGTTCGCTCGAGCGTTGCCTACCTACGGCGTTTGCTATAGAAGTGATGGAATATTAGACATGGTTCCACGACCCTGTCCCGGGTCAAACATGTGTTGCTATCTCGATCGAACCGACGGCTATGCAGACGATGTATGTATCCAAGGCGCTTGCTACAGCGACTACTGGAAAGGGCAGTACTTCGTGGTCGCATGTACGCACCAGAACTGGGACGAGGAGGGCAGTGGATGTAGTCCCCTGTGGGACGCTTGCGGTACGCATCATCACCAAAACCTTCTATCGCGTAGCACTGACTGTCAATGCCAGGTCGTCAACCAGATTACACCCACGTCTCGCACTGTGCCGATGGCAGTTTTTGCTGCGGCAAAGGCAACACTACATGTTGCAGCGACCATTCTGGTGTATATGTGAACGAAGACGGAACGATCATCCTACGGTCGGACTCAGGGAAGATCAAGGATACCCCTTCATCATCATACACGCCGCACGGCACTCCGATTCCTACATCGTTGCAAACACGTTCCTCCAACCCGGCTATCACATCAACGCCGAGCGAACCTTCTCAGACAGCAACAGCGGCTATTGCACCGTCATCAGAAGACCCAAAAGGAGGACTGTCAACAGACGCTAAAGTTGGAATTGGGGTTGGTGTACCTGCTGTAGTCCTCGCGGCTTTTGGGGTGTGGATGCAATGCCGAAACTGGTTGCCTTACCGTAAGCGGTGGTCTCATCGTTGAAGGTGCCACCGTATGATTTCATATGTCTACGATGCCAACCAAACCGCAAATTCAAGCGTAGAGAACGATCTCAAAAAGAACGTAGCAGGAGACCAATGGAAAGAATGTCAGTTGCCCAAATTGCCCTATGAACGCCAGTAGCAGCAGCTCTATCATCAGCTACCACAAAACCTCCATCAATCTGGCATGCATCAACTGCTCACAGTAATAAGGCTCAAGGACGCCTAGTAAATGAGATCCCCAATCATTGACGAACCACTCGATGTAGAATGCCTTGGCCAACTCCCAATATTCCGGGTACCACCCTGACAGCTCCCAGTCGATGATTGCAGCCACACGACCATCTTTGACGATGATGTTGTCAGGCCTGAGATCCCCATGAGTGAAAACGATACCATGCTTATGTGCATTGAGCATGCCGCGGGCATAAGGGCCAATCTGGGGTTTGGACTTCGTGATAAAGGCCTCTATAATTGTAGCATTGAAGTCTTCTATGCTTTTGAACGGACCTACGCGTCTAGTCAGAAATACGCTATCAATAGCTCGATATGGGCGCGATGATGTACCGCGACAAGATGTCGACCATTCTAACATGTTATCAATGACTGGTCCTTCGTCCACAGATCCGATGTAGTTAGCTGGCGGAAGAGAGCGCAGCTCGTCCATGTACTTTTTGAGGTCCGCCGAGATTGCTTGCTTCTCAGTAGAGGTATGTTTATCCCATGACTTCCCTAAGTCTTCGCCTTCGATAAACTCCACAAAGATATATACATCGTAGAAGGTCGCATGGTCATCGAGGCTTCGGTCTATAGGTCCGTATGCATATGCTGCATATAGTCTGGGGACAGGTATCGATGTATTCTCAGCCACATACAGCATGTTCTTGGCTTCGATGAGAGAAACATGGTGCCCCCATTTTACTGCTATCTTTGGTGACGTTTTCGCCAGATTTACCCCGAGGTTCTCTGGGTTTGATGCGTGGAACTGCTCTGGAGTGATGAGTTCATGTCCTGGGGCCAGATATTGCACATGGATCTGTGGACTGGAAGGCATTGAACTGAACAGCTCGGGCATTGCGGCTGCTTGAAACGCAGCGATAGGCTAGTAACTTACATGAGTGATGCAATACACATTTACAAACTTGTACTCACATGGTGCATCTTATCTTTAAACACTGCCATCTTGGAGCGGCTTGTGCTGGCTTTCATCAGAAGTGGTCAGCTGTTCTTCTATTTGCTCAAAGCAGCACCATAGATAATGTCGATCCTATCGTACGAAGCTTTGGCAGCGAAGAAACAAGCATCAGATAATGGACGTTAGTATGGCGACATCTTTTAGGTACTCCGTAATGCGCAGTACGCTGCGCTGCGCTGCGCGGGGTACCGGTGCGGGGCGCCCTTCTTGCCTAGTTTGCCCGAGGAATTACCGCACCATAGCAGGCTCAATGCGCTTACTCCTAAACCATCTAGATCAACACTCACAAAATTCCCACAGATGATATGAGTGACTGGAAAATACTGTCCGAAGTTACATGGATCGAAGCGCTCCATGCATTGCAGCAGCATGGGCCCTCGGCGACTCATATACGTGGAAATGTACTGGAAAGATCTCCGAGAAAACAGCGAAGGAAGGGCACGCAAGGGTCGCCAACATGCATTGTTCTCATACAAGAACCGTTACTGCTCTTGTTCTACTCAGTCATATTCAGGTAGGGATATCGCATGCCACACCAAGATGAGCGTCGCGCGCCTCATACAATGCCTAAGCAGATGCATTTCTACGACAAACATGCTACCTCATGCCATTTCAATCAACTAAGGAAGAGGTGCTACAGAGGGAATCTCCAGCCATCAAGAAGGCATTGCGATGTAACAAAGAACGGTAAATTCGTTGTTGAAGAGGCTGCTCATCATCCTACCCTGGCCTCATGAGCGACTAGTAGTGCGCGACGAAGCAACATTTTCCAGTCGCATGAGGACGTGGACTTCTGGAAGGGAGATACCCGTTATCTGAAAGGGCAACCCTTGCAGCAGACATACCGCTCATACTCCAAGTATTGACCAGGCCCTTGCTTAACGCATGTATGAGCATCTGCCAAAATGCATACTCCTGCCAACCAGCGCGCTTTAAGCGAATCAGCCCACCTACCATCTTGGGGTCTGATCCTCACCAGAGTTCAGTCTGACCGGCCCCAGCTTTCTGTCTTACTCAGTCTCTGAGCCTTGTATAGGCTTGCTACGCGAGCTGTCCCCTGTCCGGTGGCGTCTGGATTACCGTATGCGAACGCTGCTCGCATGACAGCCCATTCTGCAGCCATGAAGGACGAATAGGCCGCCAGGGGGCCCTTCACTGGATCACTCAGGGCATATCTTGTCATAGCCGTTGCAACTGCGTCATAACAGCGATATATGTCTTGGGTTGCAATTACTTGGCGTTCTTGGGTCTGCGATAGCCAGCTCTTAAGCATGCCGGGTGCCTGGGGGCTGCTGCGCACACCTTCGTAGGTCGAAATTCCAGTCTGATCTCTTGTTATCCTTTCCTCTGCGGCCTTGATTTATTGCCAATTTTCCGTTCTCTCATACTCAAAAAGAGGTTTTCGACATGGCAGATCCCAGCTATGCGGCAGCTGAGCCGGGCGACTTCTTCTGTCCAGATGGTGGTACTTGGTGCGTCAACAATCTGACATCAGAACAAACAGAGCCTTCAACGTTAAAGCGTGAATGAATAGCGCTGCCAAGTACGAGACTAACAGTGATTAGGTACGTCTGCGAGACAGGCACAAAGTTCGTGGGATGCTGCATGTCGGATCCGTGCCAGCATGCCTGCTTCGGTGATGCGCTGAAACCAGCGGGACGAAATCCAAGACTCAACAATATCTCGCCTGGCGCGTCATGTGGTGGTACGACACCCTTCTGGACTTGTTCGATGGCTCCGACATTCTACGGATGTTGCAACGAAGATGCGTGCATGAACAACTCGACATGTCCAGAGGGGCAACTAGAGCCAGCGTTCTGGGACCGACCCGACCAATACTACTACTTCCATGACCTGAACGTTGCGCTTTCGTCCACTGTTCCCGCACCCACGGCATTTTCAACTGCTGTCAGCACATCTGCGCCCGCCAGTGACACGCCTACACCATCAGCTTCCGCCAGCCCCGATGGAGTTTCTGGCGGGGTCATTGGAGGTGCTGTTGGAGGATCACTCGCTGGCGTGATTATCATCGCCGCAGTCGTGTTCTTTCTGTTTCGGCGCCGGCGCAACCAGAAAGCCAATGCCGAAGCAGAGGCAGCGAACGGCCAGGTGATACCGAAGGCAGAACTGGCATCGCCTACAACAACCACTGGTTTCGCACCATCAAATGGATTCTCACGTACGCTTCTATCACACAGAACATATGAGGCTCATTACTGATTGCGCATAGCACCTCCCACATATTCTTGGGACACTTCCGGCCACGACCAGAAATGGACACAACACCACATTGGCACTGGTGAGATGATGGGAGACACAAGAAACCGTGAGGTCAATGCGAAATGCGCCGATAGTCATGGGCCTGCCGAGCTGTACGGGGTTCTACCGGCAAGAGAGCTTGAGTCGCCAGAGTACGTTCCGAAAGTAGCGCAGGGAAAGTCCGCTCACGACACGTTGAAGCAGCAAGAAGATGTTTCGGGTGCCAATGGTGAAGAGAAAGCGGCAGCTATGAACGCGCAAACGTAAGGGACTCTTCGCTGCTCGCGAAAAGTGGAACTCGAGTGTTGTGGGGTATCGTTTGCTAGGATCTTGCAAGCTACCATGTAACTGACTCTGTGCCAACGACGATGCGCGACGCTCCTACATTCCTGTTACAATCGCTACCGTTCCGAGTATGGCCAAATTCTCCTCATCTCCTCCGGTGTCATGCCAAACTCACTACTCCTGCGCACGAATTCTTCTAGCAATTCCTTGTTCTTCTGTTGTATCGCAGCGAAGTCCAACATCGGATTGATCCAACCTTCGAAATCCGTAGTAAGAATTCCTCTCGCAAACTCGTGTACTTTATGGTAGTTACTGTACTTTTCGAACTGTTGCTCAAGCCTTTGCACATCCTCTTCGCTGAAATTGAGCGGACATTCGCCTTCGAAGCCAATTTCGTCCCATAAGTCAGCAACCTGGAGGAGACACGCGCGAAGTGGAATCTCGCCCTCTTCCGAGACTTCTCCGCACCGAGTGAAGAGCTCGCGGAGGAATGATGCTATCAGCATACACCTCCAAGCCCGCATATTCGTGGCTGCGGTACTGACTTCGTACACCTTGGCTTCTTTGGCTTGCTCAAACTTGTACTCAGCCAGTTCCCTATCTTTAGCATCCATTTTGCCTAGATCAGGCGGCGGCTCTGGAAGCTTGAGAGCACCCAATTCGTAGTCTTCATCGACAGTAAGAAACTTCGGAAATCGTGCTTGCAAGAACAGTGGCGAGACCACAATAGACTGCCAGTCAATGATCGATGAGATTTGTGGTGGCATCCGCCCTGACACGTATATGTTGCCCATGTGGAGATCTGTGTGCCATAGCACCGGCTCGGAAACTTTTCCGATGAGCGTGCGGTCGTTCAGTCGAGACATGACCTCTTTGGTCATATTAAGAGTATCGATCTGCTCATCGAGAGTTCCTCGCGGTGATTCAAATGTTGCATCGGAGGTGCGCTTTTGCAAGATTGCGAGTTCTCGCTCGACGAGAGCAATTCCATATGAAGACAAATCCGGCCCTGATAAAGTCAGCTATGACGCGAATCGACCAGGATCGTACTTACAAGGCCCTTGATCAAATCGAGGGCTTGCACTGGCCAATGCCTCCGTAGTATGCCATCCTCGCTCGCATGAGGGGCCTATGCAGAACTCTCCCACAGGGTCAGTCTCTTGGCTCAGAGCGACGTGTGTGTCGCTTTCTGTCATTGACTCCAAAAGGTAGAGACTTCCACTCGCTGGACACCGGATTTCGGTCATCTGTTTTTCGAATTCGGTCAATTGGCCAAAGAATTTGAATCGCTCCCAGTCATTCAGATCACCCCATACTTCGAATTGCTGAACCCCAGGAGCCTTTTCCATGATGATGTACTCAGCACCAACCGGGTTTGACCGATCAGCGTTCCATGCTAAAACTTTCGGTGCTGGGACTTGAGTATACTTGTTTACTGCCGAAAACGATGCGATGAGCCGACGTCACGCAGGCTTTCCAGAAAAACGAGGACGTACGGTATTTGAGAACAGCCACCTCCGACGCCGTGGTGTACTTGGGCGGCCCTGCGATAGGAAAGGGTATCTTCGCAACGATCTCGCTACCATCTTCTTTGCGTAAAAGAAGTGCTTTGCTGAAACCTCCTTCCATCTTGTCGATTGCGCAGACGGGTGAGTGCCGCCCACCAGTCGTCGCAGCTACAGCGCAAAGCTGATCTAAGTCGAATGTTACATATCTGCGATCAACCGCTTTCTTCTCGTTCGCTAAGAAACGTCCGTTCGTGTACTTGAATAGGTCCTCGCGATCGATCGGTTTGCCTGCTTTCGTTGGCTTATTGACGAGGCTGGGAGCGCGCGGTAGTTACCCCGACATGTTATGATGAGAGCTCGAAAGGCCTGGGTCGCAGCCAGACGTGCATTGGCGCGGAAGGTATGTCGCAGTATGATGCTGGGTCGAAGCGCTGATAGCATGACTGCATCGCCATGCACTTTCTCGGGGTTCTAGAGAGTACCGGCTGCGCTGGGTGACGCGCTCGCGTGCCCTCCACGCTACGAAGTGGCCCCGCCTCGCGAAGGCGCGCACTCGCGCTCGGCTGGCGTCCCACCTGGGCAGCGCAAAAGAAGAACGTGAAACGCAGGCTTCAGCTAAATGACGTGTGCCCAGAAGCGGGTGCAATGATAATCATTGGAAACACCTACCATCAAGCACATCATGCAAGGATACCCAAATAATTTTGTGAATTCCTCGAGGTCATGACGATGATCGTAAATGCGCTAAAGATACAAAAACAAAAACGCCGAAAAAGATCGATCGTCTGACATCTTACATCTGAATCCAACTCGTCATCTTCTGACCGTTGCGAAAGTGTTGCGCAACATGAGCCATCCTCCTCGCGGTAGTGTCAAGCATACACCCGCAGAACCCACACCAGCGTGAGCCAGGCCCACTAGGCGAGACATCCAACCCTCTTGACCATTCCGTGGGTACCCCAAATGTCTTCTTGGCCGACGGAGGTGCACCCTTGAGATGCGCAAGCAAGACATGCTGTCTGAGAAGATCTTTGCGAGGAAAACTACGTTCGGCAGCGCACTTGTTCAAACATGGAGCGATTACATGCTTGTCAAGATGGTCGATCGAGTCCATTGGCTCCAGGCAGAAGACACATTCGGACTGTAGCTTGAATGCGTCCGTCAACATGCAGACCCATTCTCGATCGTTATAGCCGTGCACACTAGCCTCATGTCTCTTCCAGTCCGAAGCGTTCTTGAAGGCCTTGACACATTCTGTGCAGGAAAATTTATTCTCTGATTCCTGAAAACTGGGAGAAGTCCAGGTCTGCTGTGGAGCAACAGGCAGGTGCTTGCTAGTGCCGTACTGGTATCGCGGAGCGTGAAACCTCCGACCTTTGCGCTTTGGCATGGCAGCTTCCTGCAGACCGGACACACCGAAGGCTTCCTGACGCGCTGATTCTGCTGCAGAATGTTGGTAGACCTGGGTTTCAGTGTCTTGATTGCTGTCTGGCGTGGGATAGCCTGGGTCAGACGGCGAAGGCCATGAACTGCTGTCGCTCGTGTTCGTTGCAGGCGGGCAGATAATGTTATCATCAGCGAAAGACACGGATACAGGTTGTGCGTAGCTTGACTGAGCCGACATGTTGGCGTGCAGTCCGGTATTGGACGGAACCTGGCCATTTCGCACTTTGGCATGGCCGTCAAACACTAGATGTAACGTCAGCGGGGTAGTCGAGACATGATAATACAGGATATCAGGCTTACAGTGCTTCTCACGGGCTCGAGTGTTTGTAAAACAGTTTTCGACTTGATCCACAGAGCATCCGGTAGATTCAGCAAGTTCTTCCTTCTCTGTTCGTGAAGGGTAGGGTCGAGATGCATGATCGGAGAGCCAAAGCCGAACTATTTGCAGCAGTCTTTGACATTCGGTCGATGTAGAAGAGCCACTATACGGGCTGCGTTGTGACATCGATATCTGCAGATGATCCTCTGGCTGCTGGATTGGGCCTGCATCGATGAATTCTGCATCTTGCATCCATAGGCCAGACTCCGGAAGCTCTACATGCATATCCCCCACAACAGCATCTTGGTCAGCAGAGACGCCATGCGGAGACCAAAAGGTAGTCAAACTGTTTCCATCTTGTACGTCTCCGCCATACTGCTCATCGAAAACAGGCTGAGGCGGCTGCGTAGCAGTAGGAGGAAGACTGAGAGTGTCGTCGAATTCTATATCACTTAGGGAAACGTAGCCATTATGCGGGGTATCCTGAGCAAAGTAGCCGGTGCAGCCGTCGACGTGTGCAAAATGACCATCGACGTCGTAGCCGTGATCAGACCGAAAAGGTGGATCATCTGCGCTGCGATAGAAGACGTGTTCGTTGTTCACGTTCAGCAGAGCTTCGTCCCAGGTGTGGCTAGAGCGAGGTATCGTCAGCACTGGACGAGCGGACCTTGAATCGGAATCGCATTCGACAGTTTGCGTGCGCAGGTCAAGTAGTGTACAAACAGTGTCCGCACGAATTCATGCGCAGGACTAGGGACGCATTGCCGGAATAAGAGATAAGTTCTAGAAATACCTCTCATCGTTTGTGCGTAGAGTATTGGGATGGCTTGCTGGTGTTGCAGCGCCAGACGGGTGATGGTACTTTGCGTCGTTAGTAGGCAGGAAAGGTGGCCTCAGGCATCGGGGCAACCGGGGGTAGGTCCTTCGGCAGGTTAACCATCGCCAGACTTACGTTGGTGGGGTCGGCCATCGGAGGCGAAGGGGTCCTAGCTCCGCTGCCAAGCCTTTTCCGGTCCATCTGAGTACAGAATCGAACACAACACAACAACAAACGTCCAGAAAGTGATTTTGAACACGGGGAAAAGGTGGTAGAGTCTCGGACGAGTTTGGAGATTCTATTTCAGCCTTCATGATGAGCTTCAAGGCGTCGCAGCGGAAATCGAGGGGTGACATGTGGCGGGGGCATCCAATTCGCTCCATTTGGTTAGCGGGAGAGTGTCGAATGGAAGCACATCAGCTCCCCATATGTGAAGGCTTTGTAGCACAACAACAAGTCCTCTTGATAGAATTCTGAAGAGACAGTTCTCTTCAAAATGTCATCACGACTTATGTCTTCTTTTTTCAGAACTCAATATCGATGTGACTCATCTTGCGATCAGCTCCTCCACGGCTATTGGTTGAATCTGTAAGAAGGTCCCTGGTCGAGCTCAGCCTTATACTAATAAGTGTACGCCACGCGAAGAGGAAACCTTGCCATTATGCTGTACTTCCTATGTTGGAAGATCTATTGAATCTATAGGTTGGTTACCTTTGGCGTTGCGCAAGGCATACGGCTGCGCCCAAGTGTATTGGGTAATGTAATAGACCATATACGGCATTTCCACGCCATGTCTTAACGTGACGATATACTCAGACACTGTATTCTACCAACAGTGCAAAGTAATCATAACCAGGTAAAGGATAATAGAACGAATGGACAAGTTTTTTAAAAACATCATATTCTTCTCATGACCAAGTCACTACATCATCAATATATACAAGCGATCATCTCCAATCCCACCTCCATCTAAGCCTCCTCAGCAGCAGCGAGAATAACATCCGCCGCCTTCTCCGCAACCATGTACGTAGACACCGCAGTGAAGGTACCAGGAATCTTAGGGAACACACTAGCATCAACAACCCTCAATCCAGCAACACCGCGGACCTGGAACTTGGAGTCAAGAACAGCCATCTCATCGTCATCAGCACCAATGGGGCAGGTAGACGAGCAGTGGTGACCCCAAGCAGTGTCCTTGGCGTACTGAGCAATCTTCTCGGGGGTGTTGGCGTCCTTGCCGGGGAGGACTTCGTCAATGGGGACGAGTTGGCGCTTGAAGGAGTCACGGGCGAGGTCGACGGCCTCGGTGAGGGCAGTGAGATCCTTCTCGTACTCGCCAACACCGGTGTCGAAGTAGTTGTAAGTGATCTCGGGGACGTCGAGAGGGTCGGCAGAGCGGAGCGCAACGGTTCCGGCGTTGTTGCGCGGGTGCGCCTTAAGAATGGCCCAGGTGAACCAGTCGTGCTCGGAGGTGGCGTTGTAGCTGTAGCCGGGGAAGTAACCGCGGAAGTTGACGGGGCCACCGAAGGCGAAGATGTCGTACTCGTCGCGCTCGGAGACGCTGGACTTGTAGAACATGGTGGCACCGAGACCGGGGGAAGCGTAGATGCCACGGTTGCCGAGGATGGATTTCTCCCAGCGGTCGATGCAGGCGTCGTCGTCGGTGTTGCCGAAGGTGCAGCCGTTCAGGGCAGAGAAGTCGGAAGGAGCCTTGCCCTGGACGTTGATCTCGTAGTGGTCCTGGAGGTTGGTTCCGACACCGGGGAGGTCAGCAACGACGGGGATGTCGAACTTGTTCAGCTCGTCGGCTGGGCCGACACCGCTGAGCTTGAGGAGTTGGGGAGAGTTGTAGGTTCCTCCGGCGACGATGACCTCCTTGGAAGCGGTGGCGGAACCGGGCTCACCAGCTGCGCCGGTGTTCTTGGGGCTGGCCTTGTAGAGATACTGGCCGTCGAGGAACTCAACACCGGTCGCACGGGGAGGAGTAACGTCCTGGTCGAAGGTGATCTTGGTAACGTGGCAGTTGAGTCTGACATCGAGAGGGTATTGCTTGCTGCCGTCCTCGTTCTTTGCGTCACGGACAGCGAGAACGAACTCGCGGGATCCAGTGCGCTTGCCATCGGTGGTGGAGAGAGGGATTTGGTAGAGAGCGTTGGACTTGTCACGGCTCTCGGTGTCGGCGTTGGCATCGCCAGCAATAAGAGTACCAAGGTTGACGATGGCATTGGTCATGTTGGAAAGGGCGAAAGCGGCACCGCCAACCAAGCTGAGAAGCTTGGGGTCAGAGGTGACGATGTCGATGGGTGCGTACGAGGTTCCGAGCCATCCCTCGTAGCCGTGACCCTTCTGACCGGGGAGGAGGTAGTGGTTGTGCTCGAGCTTCTCGAAGTACTTGCGCATGTTCTTGGCTGACCAGGAGTCGTCACCAGTGATGGCAGCAACATTGTCGAAGTCAGACTGGTGGGGGTAGACGGCGATGAGAGCGTTGTGGGCTGTGCATCCACCGAGAGTACCGGTACGAGGGTAAAGCGTACCCTTCATGGTAGAGCCCTCAGGTGGGCTGAGACCGGTGTACTCGCCTCCATCGACAGTCTCGTAGGAGGTCTTGTAGTCGCGAGCTTGGCGCTGCTCATCAGCGTAGTGCTTGACATAGAAGTTCCAGCTCAGGTTGGGGTCTTCGGAAACCCTGGCGTTGAAAGCAGGAATGGTGTAGTTCTGGCTGGCACCTTGGTCGTCACCAGCTTCGATAAGAAGCGTCTTGTGACCGGCAAGGGCGAGGCGAGCGGCCAGAGGCTTTGGAAATGGTTAGTATTTGCTACATCCAGTCAGGTACTCTTGAACTTACACCACCACCTGCACCAGAGCCGACGACTACGTATTCATAGCCAGTCAGATCGACAGCCACCGCAAGGGAAGCGAAGGCTGCGACTGTGTAGCCAATTACGCGGGGGAAGAACATGGTGATTAGGTATTACTTTGCTGTTCGGGTGGGTATTTAAAGAAAGAATGACAGAGGCTGTAAAGTTGCCTGCTTGATCCTACCCTGTGCAGCCTTGCTGACCTTTATATCGTTTACGAACCGCGTAGGTCGGCATCCCCCTATTTTCCGGTGGTGGCTTGCAATGCCGAAAGACTTCTACCTCGGACGAAAAACCATTGGCGAGATACTTACCAAACAGGTGGTGTTCAGTAGTCGCGGTGGTTGATCCCTTCTTGGTCTGGAAAACAATGCTTTCATTCGGTCCGGCACGTAGATCATACGGGTCCTTCTAGGGTACCTTGCAGGTTGCAATTTGCGCCACGGGACGGAACCATTGGGACCTGGAGACCGACAACAGCGCTCATGGATCCGTGAGCTCAGTAGCGTTGGTGGTCGTCTTTCTTTCGAAGTAACGTATTTCATAGCGGCATGTATACAGCCTGCTTCAGTCGCTTTCAGTCTTTCGCCGTTCATCGTGGTATCCACGGAAGTTGTGGCAACACGCATCCGCGGAGTGAGAACGCTTTCCCCGTTGCGTTCCGCACCGACCCAGAAGTCTAGGTCAGGAAATGATGATTTCTCCTGTCAAGGACGCTTACCCTGGTCTGTCTATTCCTAATTGCCGGACGTTCCTCCCGCTTCGGAAGGGAACTCCACGGGTGTGGAGTCAACGGCCAGGGACAGCGGACGCTAGCGCCTAACCCGTGTTAGCAGCAACGCGCATTGAAGACTCTCTGGACCTGGGCTTCACGATAGGCACTGCGATGGATGCGAACGGACATAACGTGGTTCTGTAGATTGCCGACTTCTTCGCCGAGAAGGATGACGGAATACCACGTGGTGCGAGATGCACTGCCGCAGGAACCGCCTTTTTCTTTTTCGCCACGAGGCACAGAGGGAACTGACTCAACTACGACTCCACCCACCGTACGAACGCCATGTTGAATTCGGCATTCGGCTGACTCCACAACACCTTCTAATGCTCGTTCTAGTCGCATGCGTTAAGGCCTACGTTCTGTCGCTCGGTACCTGCGCCTTCTCGAAAACTCCCCTATCTGTTAT